TATATATATATAATTATTCTTGCGCCAGTTTTATACAGCATTCTATTAAAAAACAGCTGGTGGAACAGGGAATTCGCCAACAATTCTGACTGGTTTACATCTTCAGAAGATACTGTTAGAATTCTGTTGTGTCATTTTTGGTGGTCACATATGTCCTTCAAAATGACGGCTTCTCTGGCCAGCATGGCCGCCTTTGTGGATAATCTGTGGCCTTCAGATGCTGGAGAACCACAGCTTCAGGAAGTCCTGACACCCAGCATCTTGCAGAACATTCTAGTTTTGGCTGTCAGAAGGCCACAGACAGTCCTGAACTAATCTAGACAGTGACAGTGACTCGGACAGGTACTAAGCACATAGAGCAGGGGTGGGGAACTCTGGCCCTCCAGCGGTTGTGAAACTACAAGTCCCATGAGGTATTGCAAGACTGACAGTTTCAGGCATGACTCCCAGAGGCAGAGACATGTTGGGTTTTGTAGTTAAACTTGGCCACCCCTGATGTAGAGAGTGACCCATCCTTAGTGTGATTATGTCATAGTAAAGAACCTGTTCAGGCATCTTCCTAGCATCGGTTACCAATAGGAGATGTATAATCCACCTAGCTGCTGTGGCCACTCAGAACTGTTCCTTGAGGTATACAATTATATTTTTATGAACACAATCCTTTATTTAGAAGGTATATAAACTTTATGTATTCCCAGAATCTCCATGTAGTGGCCTCCTTCCCCAGCCTGTACTAGCCAGATGAGCCAATGAGGTTTACCATACATGTGACTAGTGATGAGGTTGGGCTTGGTGTGAAACCAGTTCTCTTGAGTTCAACCAAGTCCACTCAGAACTGTGACTGCCACTCTCCCCCTCCCGACCCAATCATTTGTGGCGTGAGCGTTCCCCACCCCTTTTGAGACGTATAGCTGCGAGGTGGGGAATGCGCCTTTACACCACCGGTAGGGTCAGGAGAAAGGGGGAGTGGAGGTCAAAGTTTTGAGCGGGCTTGGGCCAAACTGGGATCACACCAAGTCTGGGCTCGTCACTGTGTGACCAGTTTGCTGCACTGTCCTCTGTATGGAATCTCTCGGGCCCACATCCCAAGAAAAAGTTTAATTTCAATATCTCCAGGACAGAAGCGAATACAGATCAGAAATAAGGTTGGCTGAAGTCCTTGGCATACATGTAGCAGAGAGGGAAGAAGGACTTTTTATCCAGCAAAGCTGGTTTTTCATCTTCTGTTATTAGCACATGTGCCAACCCGGAAACTGGTCTGAGAAGGAGATTCATATGAACGAGTGCTCAGTACTTGGAGGCAGATTAATGGTGATTGAAGTAGGGATTAGTGATGAGGCTGGGTTTGGTGTGAACCTGGTTCACCTGAATTTGCTCAAGCCCCCTGAAAACTCGTACCGCTGCTTTTTTAAAGCTCCATAAAGCTCAGTAGCAATTATTAAATGGATAGCGGACTGTGTAGTACACATGTGAAAATCTGGTTGCGTTGCGTCACGTTACGGTGTGTGAAAATGTATCCTGCGTGCCACGTTCTGCCAGCTTTGCCTCTTCTCATTAACTTCCATTTATGTCAGTGAAAGTGTACCTTAAACGTGCCGCAAACGTGTCTTTTAGCAACGAGTACGCCAAGTGAACGAGGCCTCAGTCTCTTGGCACCGAGTACGCCAAGTGAACGAGGCCTCAGACTCTCGGCACCTATATGACAGGCTGTTCACAGTAGGATATGCAGATGTGTCGGCAGTGCTAGTTATGTAAATCGAAAATTTCTACCATCTCCCTGTATGAGCAATCACTGCAATGAGTAATGTGCATCCATTTCATACCTGATGCATGCTGTTGTATGTAAATGTCCATACACACGTTTGTGTTTTTATAGCTGTGTTTATACTTGTTTGTGTCAACAATATAGACTAGATTAGAAAACAAAAACATGGGAGCCAGGCCTTAAAGAAGAACTCTGGGTAAATTAAAAACTTGCCCTTGCAGTAGGGATACCCCTGTACTACAAGGGTTACGTGCTTGTCTTGTCTAGGGGGCTCAAATAAAGCAGATTTACTCATCTGATCCTCGGTCCCGCTGGTTCCCTCCGGGCTGCTAGACTGGTCCCCCAGCCTCTTCTTCCCTGGGCTTTGGCATTCTAAGGACCACTGTCCTCATCACTTCTTACGCAGCTCCATGAACCTGCATTAGATGTGAGGATGCTGAAAGATATTTCATAGACAGCGAAGGGGAGGGAGGTGAGTGCTGACCACTGCAGGAGGTAGGATCAGGTGCGTATGTCTACTTTATTTGAGCACTCTAGAAAAAAATGAGCATTTAACCCTTGCATTGCAGGGGTAGCACAACTGCGCAGGGATAAGGCTTTAATTTTCCCAGAGTTTTTCTTTAAACTGGCCATACATTAGTACAGGGGTGGGCAAGCTCCGGCCTTCCAGCTATTGTGGAACTACAAATCCCATGAGGCATTGCAAGATTCTCAGAGATTTTGTAGTTTCACCACTGCTGGAGGGCCAGAATCCCCCCCGCACAAATATCAACAGATCAACATCCACACTAAATAAACGAATCTCCTGCTGCAAGTATTGTATTCTGACAGCCAGAATCTGCCACTGTCAGAATACATGAACACATTGAGTAGTCGACTTTTGTTGAGCTGATTCCTGAATTTGAATTTGGGCTGATTCCTGTGGATTGGCCAAAATGTTATCAATGTATGGCCAGCTTAAGACCAAACCTAAAAGTAATGTTTAGACTTTGATTTAACATGGTGAAAATGTATAAAGAATGGAGAAGAGTAGATGAGTATGTTAGAATGTCCCTAAACTTACTAGTTTGCTGTAATAAGCAGATCTTGCAGCGTTGTGGTTCTGTCACATGATCTAAGCTCATCTTTTGGTCACATGGTCTCTAGCAGTTTTATACTATGAGCATTGTTGTCAGCAAATCTTCATTCACTTTGACTGAAGATTCTGGTGATGATAACATCTGAGTGCGTTCATGTCATGGCTTGAAGTCCTGAGACCTGTAGGGGGGAGCTTTCGACATCCATTTCTGACAGGTAATGCATGCAATCTAGCTTACGGTATACATATTCCTATCTTCCTTCCTATGACTTCCTTTTTATTAAAGTGGACCTAAATGTTGAGTTGAGGTCAGGGCTGAACAAATCCCAGGAGCCAGGTAGCCAATGGTCCTTAAAAATGACAGCTGGCGCCTAACTTTTGAGATATTCTCTAGATGTTGTCAATGGAGGTGGCTCCTAAACAAATTCTGCTGGCTCCTGAATTCTACATTCATTTGTCCACCACTGGTTTAGGTCCTCTTTAGGAGTTGGTATACAAGCCATTTTTAATTTTGCATGAATATGTCTCACAAGAAATTGTCCTTATCCACCCTGAGCTGTATATTAATAGTTTCCCAGTGTCGTAATGCGTGTCAATTACCAAAATAAGAACATGGATGTTATGCTCTCTGCTTTACAACTAAATCTGGCTAGACAACGTTAAAATGTTTAAAGTAATTTGTTAGAGCATTCGATCTTCCCATCATCGAATCAACTAATGCCATTCAAAAAGCCCTTGAAGAATGTCATCCAGACCGGCTACTTGAATGGAATCCCAGACATGGTAAATAGGTTTCTCTTGTCTCTGGCACAATCGGATTACCAT